GGCAAGCTCTGTTGGCCTTTGGTTATAAATGGGGTCGATAGGTCTTTATTCAGAGTTTAATGAGATTCACACCTCTTGAGCTGTAATGTAAATCCATCAAATAGAAATGAATTTTAGAAGCGGCAATTTGTGAATGAGAAGATTACATTGAATACTATTTGATTTTCTTTTTTTTCCCTAAACACGGGAATCAAATGTTTTTGCAAAGATCGGTATGGTCTCAGTTATATACCATCTCTTTACCAAACAGCAGAGGGATCCCATGTGTATTGTGGCACAATTCAGCTTTGCAGCATTTCCTTTCTTGTAATCACTTGCTTTGTTGCCAGTTTTTCTATTCCCAGGTAATAAAAAGTTTTCTAAATTAAGATGTTTATATTTTAAAATAAGGCACTTTAAAGCACACATTAAACAATTTATGGTAGATAATTTTCTATTAAAATGTGTGTGTGTCACAGGCACATTGATTTTTTGTAATTAATAGAAATGATAAAATGACTGGATGCTCATGATTATATAGGTTAGACCAAGTAAAATACCTGTAATTTCATTGTAAAATATGAAAGAACAGCACAAGCCCTCATGCCTGGCATTTTCACTCATTCGTGCTACTGTAGCTCTAGAATAGTGATAGAAACCAGTGGTGCTTCAGTGGTACTAAAAAAATTATAATCTGTTACCCTTGATAAGGGCAGAGACACAGCAGAGTACTTCCTTTGTATTTTACAGCAACAACTGGTGTTGTATAGTATCTTCTTCAAATATTTGTTCACAATAGCAAAAATATGTATTTCTTTGCTGGATATAAAGAAATTTTATTAATCTCTGAAATTTTTCAATTTCTTTATTTTAAATACCTCTAGTGACAGAAACCAATGGAAATATGGTGTTTCTAGCCCTGCACATTAGAGCTGAGACGCTGAGCAGCCACTGTGTACTGGTGACTTCAGATCTTTAATGCTGTGTTACGTACTGAGGAAATGTTTCCAGTAGGCATTGACTGATATTATTCTGCTGTCAGACTGGATCAGTTGGTAGTGCATGATGGTCCACCACCTAAACTCATCCCAGATTTCAGACATTATTTAAATATGTTTTTACAGTGGTATCACCATATTTCATATCTTTCAAATGATCCTGTGTGTTCATTCATTCCAGTTGGACTCAATGACTTGAAAAGTCTTCTCCAATCTAAATGATTCTAAAAATGAGCATAGGCACTCTCTGAAGATGCCATAGAAGTTCTGGGAATGTGTGTACCATCCTGCAGCTCTTAGTTTTTGTCCTTCCAGTCCCAGTATTGTTTGTCTTAAAAGTCTCTTTATTGGCTCATTCCTTTCCAACTTTGGTGTACGCTCTGAAAATTTTTGAAAAGCTTTTACTTCTGTTCTTAAAGGAAGGGAAGATGGCTTCCATCCACCCTATGCTTTGCAAGGGATGAAGACCATGGACCCTAGCAGTAGGCACAGACTCCTGCTCTCCAGGGAATTAACTGGAGTCAAGGATTCAAACAGGACAGCCGTCTTTAGGAGGTGCGTGGTCAGCACTAGTTCTGTTCCACCAGAATGAACTGAGGTGGATGAGCTTATGCAGAGCAGTCAGTACTATTTTTAACTTTGTATTCCTTGTATCATCTATCTCTGAACAAGCCGAGCTTCGTTAAAAGTGGTAGTTTAGATACTTGAGGGAGTAGAGCTCTTGCCCTGTGAGGAGAGGCCAAGGCATCTATGCTGGTTCACCCTGGAGAAGAGTCAGCTTTGGGGGGACCTCGCAGCAGCCTTTCTGAATCTGTGAGGAAGCAATTGAGAATCATAGAATCACAGAGAAGATGGAGCCAGGCTCCTCATAGTGGGGCACGGTGAGAGGGTGAGACACAGTGGGCATAAGATGAAACAAGAGAAGTTCAGACTGGATATAGGAAAAGTATTTACCTCATGAGAACAGCCGAGCAGTGGGAGGCTGCCCAGTGAGGCTGTGCATTCTCCAAGAAGGTTTTCAAGATTTGGCTAAGTAAATACTGAGCAAACTGGTCTAACATTGAAACTGACTCTGCTCTGAATAGGTTGATCTGAGATTCTTTCCTCTGATCTTACAGTTTCCTGATACTTAGCACAGGATGAACAAATACAGAGGTGAAGGACTGGGAGCAGCTAGAAAAGATAAATGCTGGTGGCTCAGAGGGGTGGTAAAAGATTGGAGAACATCGAGTGCATCAGTATGGATCACTGATCTTTGTTATGCTGGAAATGATTCGGTCCTGGCTTAGAGAGCAGTGCATAGTCATCACTTTTATGTACAAGGTTTCCTTTAAGGTTCCAATGTCACAGACAAGTCAGTTTTATTTAATGACCTTCTACATTAGCAGTTCTTTGTACTAGTGACTGAAATTGATTTTGCTGGTGATGTGAAAGAGCACAAGCCCAGCCTCTGCATCATTGCTCAACCATGTGCTTTAGCTCTACCAAAGAATAGGACAACAAATTTCTGAGCATCAGAAATACCCATGTTGAAATTTTTAGGTCCATTATTGATAAAGACTCAGCTGGTTTTTAATCACTGAGTTGCATGGTTGGAAACTGCAGCTTTGTGTTTAAGCCCTGGAAATGTTTTGTTGATATTTTTCTTTGGTAAAGTGGCATCACTAAGACCTTTCTTATTTTCTTCAAGCATTTCACAACACAGTCTTCCTCTCTGACCAGAGTAATTACAAAACAATTCATTAGTGGTTTATGTTTATGTTACCATACTGCTTAGATAGATAAGTGTTATGAAGAAAAAGAATAAGAAAAGGGTGGAGGATAAATATGTCAGGGAAATAAGACTGCAAGGAGCACAAGGTTTCATAAAGACTTCAGGTGGAGAATAAAAGGAGGGATGAATAATATCTCACAGGAAGGAGCAAGGACAGACAAAGAGGATGAAAAGAATGTGAAAGCAAAGAGTCTGATGAAACAAGAAGGGAAATATAATTGGCAGCTAACATTTCAAGAAAAAAATAATGAAAATTGAAGGAAATATTATGCAAATTTTGACTTTTACATTTGTAAATGTTTCTTAGTCTAGCAGTGCATGTTTGGCACATATTCTTTATCCTAAATTTTGGAAAATTAGAGAATTTAGTTTAAATTTAAATTGGTGATTAATAAAAGACGTGATCACTAAAGTGCACAAAAAAACATAAGATCATCGAATTAATGCAATTTGAATCAGATTTCCATTATTCTGGCCACACTAGTTTTTGCACCTGATACTTTAGGGACATTCTGGCATTTGAACAAGTCAGTAAACAGACAACTGACAACAATGAGTATCTTCTGTGCAAGCAATTGAAGAACTAAAATTGCAACCTCTCTGTCTTCTAAAATAAGGCTACATTTTAGGAGGACATAGAGACTCACCCTTCTGATCTTCTCCAGTGCCTATGTACAGTGATGGGATCACAGACAACAGACTTCATGTATGACTGGAAGGAAAGACAGGAATGTATTTCAGACTATCCCAAAATACAAAACCAGCTCTGCTGTTACATATTTCTTTTTGTAATATTAATTACGAATGGAGAAGTATCTGATGTCCTGAAAAATCCTTGGAAGGTGTGGATAGCAAAGGTTGAAAGTGTGTTCTGTTGGTTGTTGTTTTGATTGCACTTGGACTACGAAGACATTAATTAAAAAGAAGATGATCTATGGAGGCTCTAGTAGTGTTCCCTTTCTCTACCTGGAGATAAGAGTGAACTGCCATGGACTTTCTTTGTTCACAGTACATCCTGGAGCTTTATTAGAAAATGCAAAGAGAAGAAATTGCAAAACCAGTTCTGTTTGGATCCACCTACAGCAGAGGCAGAAATAATGTATAATGTCTTATGAAGGTTGCAGAAAGCTTCTGGTGTTGTTCAGAAGCAAGTCTGAACATTTTCCACCTTCTGATCCAAGACAGAGATTTGAACTAGGAGATATGTAAGGGCTCTAAATGCCTCTCATCACTAGGACTCCTTGATGTGCTCCTGCCCGGCTGGCACTCTCCTTGCTCAGTGACTGACTTTTGCATATCTCACTGGTTTTGTGTCCTACAATAACCCATCTAGCTGCTTCTCCAAAAATAAGGACCTCCCCTTTATTACCTTGCCTCACTCTGCAGGACTTCTTTTCATTTCTTTTCTTCATGCTTGGAAAAACCTTTCCATCCTAAAGTACAAGCCATAAAGTTTCTCTTCTTTTGCAGTTTTTAATTTTTCTGTTTTGAGGGGCATGTTGGTGAATGGGACATGTTTTAGTAATGACACCACCAGTTGGTTATTATAATAATAATTGCAATACAAGTTTTCTAAATTCTGTATGTTATTACCATTTCCCACACTCCTCATGTACTAAGAGGTATGTTTCTCCAGTAGACATCAAGTTCCAGCCAGAGTTAAGTATGCATGCAGTGCATCACTGGTGATATTTAACAGTAACAATGACAGCCTGACATAATATTTTGCAGGCCTTGAAACCTAATATCTGAGGAAGGATTCAAATGATATATATTTCTCTGAGAAAAGTCATAGAAATAGGACTTACTTGGAAGGTTGGATTTATGATGGCTTTCATTCCTGGATTGATTTTTATCCAAGAGACTACTTTTGTAGATTCCTGCCGAGGGAGTTATGGAATAGTGTTGGGAAGATGGCAGGGAGTGTTTATTTCCATATTGATAAATGGATGTTTGTCTTATGTACAAGAAGGAGTAGCAAAAGAGAAAAGTATGGAATGTACTTTTCATCTTAGTAAATCATGGGAGAATGTCTCAGTAGGTTTTGAACAGTTCAGTTTCTAAAATGTGCTGACAACATGCTATGTTTGTATGGAAGCACCTAGGCACAGAGCTTCCCAAATGCTTCATTTTGACCTTGAATGAATAACAAACAAATCCTTAAATTGTGAAAATCCAGATACTTATCTTATGCTTTTGTCTTTTTTTCCCTTCATTTTTTTTCTTTTTCCCTCTTTCCTCTTGTCCAGGAAAGAACGTATCAGTCACACAGAAGAAGCAGTAGAGCTCCCAAGGACTGATGAAATGTGCTTTGCCCTGGTGGTGACTGCAGCTGCTACGTTATGTGAAAAAATGAGAAGTTGCCCTAAATTACCATCTGTGATGTTTTAGCCACCTCCTGTAGTGGAAGCTGGTCATGTGGGCCAACCCTATGTGTGGTTTGAGACTGAGTGTCGTTTTGCTTTCTTGGGATCTCAGCATTTGCATTTTAAAGCAATTACCAAGTTAAGCACAATCTCTGTGTTCATGGGTCTGCCTGCATGGGCATGTAGTATCTTCAGCCTCGTATGGCTTTGAGAATTTCTGAAAGAGCCTTTGATCTGAGTTGGGATGTTTAGTATTTCTGAGGGCACATACTTGAGGGTACAAACTATTTAGCAAATGAGACAGAATGGCATTTTTACAAGGGTAAGTAGGAATTGAGAATGTACTTCACGTGCGCTGAGAGGCACTTGGAACATCAAAGTGCTGTGTTCTAATACTCTGAGTATTTCAACCGCGTGAATAGGCCACACTGAATTTAACTTTCAGAAAAGTCATTTGCAGGCATACATGCTTTTCCTGAAACAGGTGTGTTTGTGCACACTGGCTGGTAATAGCACACATGGTGCAAACACATTTTGCAATCACACTGCACGCTACAGATTACGCACCCATAACCCCTTACTATTCATCTCCCAGTATCGTTTTTGAAGGCAGGGAGATGCGGATACAGGCGCAAGACTTGTGGATCAGGGGTTGTATGTGTACATCCATCCATTCTATAACTAAAGGCACACAGCACTGTTAAGTCAGCGGCAATACTCGTCCTGACCTGAACGGCAGCAGCCATGGGTACTGCTCTCAAACTGCCTCTTATGCTGTGATGCTCTTTCAGTTTTGATAACTGTTTTATGACTTGTATTTTCATTTTTATTTTTTTTAATGTTGAGCTAACTGCTAGGATGTGCTGTCTTCGCAATGCTTAGTTGCCCAGCAATTACAGATACACTTCAAAAGGAAGCAGAAGAATAATAAACCGTGGAATCCCAAATCAGATTAATGTAATGTGCATTTCTAGATTACGATTAGTAACAAGATAACACAGTGTCATGGTAACACTTGAAACTTAACTACAAGTTCCTAAAATAAACCAATGACATATGTATAAGTTTCTATCCATTTGCATAATATCCACCTGAAAACATACATCATTTTTACAACACCCAAGCAATTAAACCCTACTTTTCCCTTCTGAATTAAGTGTTGAACTAAAATATCATGCCTCTTTCCTAGTATTTATGCATAATCTCCCACCATAAATTATAAATGTTGATGAAGAAGCTGTCCATTTTGTAACATCTCAGGCTTTCTGCCTTTTGGTTTCATTTTAGAACAATTAGCATAAGGAATGTAGAACACACTTTATTCTTTGCGGTTCGTACCACATTCATGTCTTTGAAATTCTACCACCTTCTAATACAAAAATTGTCTCACTGATATTGGAAAAGTCTGTTTATTAATTAAGTTGATAGACTAGTGGGTGCAATTCATGTGGCTGAGGGTTGGGAATTAAAATCCCAACTTTACTTCAAATCACTGTAAGAGAGGAGTAAACTTTCAATGTGAGATTGCTAGCTAAGATGGAGAGCCTAGCTATTATTTTCTAGTTGCCTTACAGTGAAAAGTGTTGTCTACTTGTTATAGAGTCTGACTTTCTTTCACTAAGCAGAAGTTAACTTGTTTAATATGCTATCTATGGTAAAGGTGCCAGGATATGCTTTACATGTATTGTCATTTTGTGTTAAACTTTCACAGAATGCAAAATTGGGCACTTTGTTCTGATTGCTTTATATGCACAATACTGCTTTGACCAAATTCGTTAGTCAAAATTAAGATGCTGCAAAGTTCTTTGTAAGTAAATATGATCTTCTTCTGTCACCTTAAATAGACAAAATGGGCAGTGTTACACGGAAAATATTATTTCTTTGGCAGTTCACTTCTTTATGTATACTGTATTGTATAGACCATTGGAGGATATTGAAAATATAGCTTACAGGTTGCTCCTTACACAACCTTTAAATCCCAAATTCTGTTCTTCACACCTCTGTGGATGGCAAATGCTGAAAGTAAAATGATTGCCTCCAGCATGATAATCATGTTACATTCAGAATAATACAGTTGCTGGGAAATATTTCATATACACAGCAGAGTTCCTAGGATAAACCTCCTGCTAAGGCATGGCTGATGTTTGTCCTTTTGGCCTTTTGAATAGTGGAAAGTCTGATTTGTGTTTAATAAATCTGCCTGTATTTCTCACATGCAGATGAAGGTTTTTAGTATTTGAATTTACTGTTGTTGTGGGGTGGAGGGAGGAACATGTGCATGCTGGGTTTGCCACTAATCCTTTGGAAATCCTTTAGTGCCTTAAGGAGGCAGAGGGGAAACAGACCTTAGGATTACAGAAACTTGTTCAAACCTCTTTCCTGCTTTAGCAGAATTGCTTCAAAATATATTGTGCCTTTGGCTCCAAATATATTTGCATTAGAAATCAGTAGCCATGGGATTATGGACAGGACTTTTTGCCCCTGTACAAATGTTAGGAAAGAGAGCATACTGTTTCTTGTACAGGATGTGAATTAAAAATGTAGCTAACTTAAATTCTACTGTTGAGATCCATGAATACTAGGAAAGTTGCAAGTTGCAGTTAAAGCCAGAAAAAAAAAAGAAAAAAAAAGGAGAAAGTTTATATATATACTAGATGAAATGCTTGTACCACTGAAGTGACTGGCAAATTTCCACTTGCTTCCCTGGGACCAATATTTCATGCTTGCTTCTACTTGTCTTAATAAATTCTCACAAGTGATAGACACATGGGCATTATGCTCTCTTTAACATTGTTTATGCACATAAGGGAAGAAAAGAGAGATTAGTAGTTGTGGAGACCTGCCTTGATTTGGAGTTGTTTGGATCTGTGGTATAAATCTCTGTTCACTGTTGTTTCTCTGTGTAACATAGACTATTTGCTATGGGCATATGAATATTCAAATGTAAATTCCAGTGTGAGAGGTTACTGTGCAGTGTGCACTAACCAATGCCAAACAACTACATTTTTCTACTCTCTGAACCTTGGTCTTTTTGAAAAAGAGGGAAAATGTAGCTAACAGATGAAAACCACTCCTGTGCCAAAAAAGCTTGCATGAGGCAATTCATGTACTCCCTGATGGTCCTAAGCAGCTCTTAGGAAAAATTGAATAAGCTTTTAGCTCATGAGTGAATTTTATCTTCTAGGAAATAAGAGCAATTTGCTAAAAAAAAAAAAAAAAAGAAGAACAAAAAAAAATGAAGGCCCGAAAATCAGACTGGTGGTGGTCTTCTGTTTTGCTCCCTGGGATGACGAGCAAGTATTAAAGAATATGTAAATAGTTTAAAGAAAATCATCACATGGCTCGCAGTATGTGAGACAAGGCCCAGCATGGAACAGATTTTTATAGCTTATTTATAAATTACACTTCTGCCTTTTGTTTGGAACTTGGAAAAGAAAACAGTGTAAATCAAGAAGTGAAGACTTACTGCACATATTTGTTGACTGAAACAAAAATATTTCCCCACCTCCTGAAGTATTAAGGAGTAATTTGGGATGAATAATGTATGGAGTTATTGGGTTTTGAGCTCTAGTGCTGTACAACTATTTAACTCTGCAAAGCCAACAGAGGGATGGTAACCAGAAGTCATGAAGATCAGTTTTTAGGGCCACAAATTCATATAACGAGATACCAAAGAATGCACAAAAAGGCTGATGTTTATGGTGTGATACTTATTAAGCAGGTGTACCAGCTAGACTGGGGAGGGAGGGATATTTGTAAATAAATGCAAAAAGGTTTAAACTCTGACCCATAACCACTCTGTAACTGGGTGTCAAATTAATTTCAGCTAAGTGAGAAGCTTCGATAGTATGAGAGAGGCCACTCATATTTTAACTGTTCCATTAAAACCTTCTGGGTAACTTTTCAGCAAAGTTTTCCACTCTAAGACATTTGTCATAAATATCAACTGTACATATGTATTCATTTTAATTGTAAGTAGGGACAATACAGAATTGTAATGAAGTCACAAAGTCTACTTGATGATTATCACAGATTTGTAACTCTCACTTAAATTATGTAAGATATGTTGACATTTTATCTTGTTAACAAGATGTATTTTTCTATGTTAGTCAAATGTACAATTTGTACAATTTTGTATATTAAATGTATGCATATTTTAAATTAAAAACGTCATAATTTTATTATTTTAAAATGGTGACAAGAACTTCTGAGAGACAGCTGTAAATATAACTGTATCCATGGACAGCAACCCATGAATTCTCGGTTTTGAGAAAGGGGTCAGCTGGTCTTCTAACAGAGTAAGAAAACTGCAACACCTGGGTCTTGCTCCACTTGGTGGATGAGCTGCCATTCAACTTCAGCTGATTTAATGGAATGAACATGAATTAGCAGAATACTATAAACTGGATCACTGCTCAGAAAGTGGGTAACCAGAGCCTTCCCCAGCTTGTAGTGTTTTGTATCCACAGTTCCTACATGCCAGGAGACAGTCCAAATCACCAATCCATGGGACAGGGTTTTGTGGGGAAGGGCAACACTGCTGGCAGAGATACACCAGTCACGCAGAGGAGAGAGGGAGACTGACTCAGTGACTTGGCTGCTCAAGTCACTCTTCTGGGAGAAAGAAAACTTTTGTCTCTGTCACACTCACTCCCTTTGAGCTGTTCATGGCTTTTTTTGTCTGCTGATTGTTGCAAAATGCACAATAGCAAAAACAGATGCAAAATGTACATTGCATATTCTCTGAGCCCCCGCACCGGGCAAGTCCTGTTCTAGCTCGTGATGTTCACACTGTTGCAAGAAGAGCTCCAGATACAACTAAAGCCAAGTCAGTATGTGAGATCTTTTGTTGTGTGAAGCAAGCATATCTCTAGCTTTTTTGCTCTCTCTCATCTAGGCTATTTGGAATAAAGGTCCTTTAGGAAGAGGGTGCACTTTCAATCAGATTCAGTTCTCTTTTCATCAAGCAAGGTCAAGACAGGATGGGATGCACTATCTGCAAGAGAATATACCAAAGCAATGTATTCCTCCAAAGTTGCATACTTTTTTTTAGGCAAACTCACAGGGTGACAGGGTATCAGGTTGTAACTGGGTCTGCTTCCATAGTACCTAAAACTGCAATTTTACTCAACTTAAGGACAGTATGTATCCGCTGTCTTAGAACACTTAGTTTTTAATAAACTAAGGGCTAAAGTATGAAAAAAAACCCCAGACAAAAACGCCAAACAAAACAAAACAACTGTTTAAAAGTAAAGAAAGACACTGGTGCGATTTTATGCTTCCTTGTAACTAGAAAGTTTAATGCTGTTTTCTTAAGCATTGATTTGACATGCTTTCTGAGTCTTGTGGTCTCTTTATGTATCAGCATTAAGATGAATGTCCTAACTTAATACTGCAAAAATAGCTTTATTCTTTTTTATTCAGAGAAACTTGAGCAGCTTTAGAAACCTGAACAATGTTATCTAAATAGATCCCAAGTGTAAACAGAGTCCATCTTTCTTAGTTTTATGGATGTTAAATAACAGATACTCTTTATTTAGCAGACACATGTACTATGTGCAACATATGGGACCTACTATAGGACCATCAGAAGTTTTTATTCTGGAGGTTGAAAGTAATCTCTTGATTGCAAAGAAGTAACTCATAAAATAAATAATTTTTCCAATATTTGTGAAGACAGGCAGGTCACACATCACACTCCATGTGCCACCTGCATATTTCACTAACTGTCAGGGTTTGGTGTACTGTGGAGGAACAAATTGACTTTCTTTTTTTTTCCAAAATGATCAATAAATCTCAATGTTACCATCAGGAACAAAAAAAAAATCAATATTTGCCCACATACAAGAGAAGACTTTAAGGAAGTAACAATGCAATATCCTACAAGCTATACTTATTTTTTCACATACCAGTGAAACCTCCATATGATATTAACGTGTTAATGTGGAAGTATGGTTTATTAAGTGAGCTGTGGAATCTTGGGCAATATATTCTCAGAAATGTCAGTCATGATTAAAATCAGTGTGTTAATAACCAATAATAAGTGAAATTTTTACTGATTTCCTAACTTCCCTCATGTGAACAACACCCACAGTGTTAAATGCACACACAGAGCATTCAAGACAGCATGTACCTCTGCATTATAACAAATGCAGAAAAGAAAGATGTTTTCCTTTGATGCATTTTTTCAATGCTCAGCTATCTCACATTACTGCTTTTTCACATGGTCTGGGTCCATGGGTACTTGTTAATGAGAAAGACGGTTATGTGGACTCACTTCTGATGAAATCCCAGGGACCTCTGTCTTTACCTCCCACTTTTCCTGATTTGTAGCTTGCAATTTTTATTGTGCAAGGACCACCAGGTACACAGACAACAGTCCTGTGTGGCTGGGCTTGTATTCAAACAGCATAAGCATGTTGTACACGAGCAGTAAATAGGCCTTGTGATTGATCCACTATGCTTCAAATTTGCTTTGTCACGTAATTAATCTCAGAACAGTTTCTTCCAATATATAATTTCAGAGCAACAGAAAATGTCCCTTATGTAACTCCTGGGGTAGTCTAAGGCTGTGACAATTGCCTGAGATTGGCTGCATGTGCAGGAGAGGAGTGTCCAAGGATTTGTGATTTCGGTCGATGATCTCCTTGGGCACTGTTAGACAGGTAGGTGTGTAAATACGGACTTTCTGAAGTGGGTTGTGCAGAGACCCGAGGGTTACACACTCTCCACCCCTCCTGCTTTAAAAAAAAAAAAAACCCTCCTAGTTTTTGGGAACCTGCATCCCTCACAGCGAAACGAAAGCCCGGCCCCGGCCTGCCTCTCTTTGCCGAGGCCAAAGCCAGGCAGGAGCCGACGAGGGCTGCCGGCTAGGGGAGCCGCCCGGGGTGCTGAAGGGACAGCTCCGGGGACGCGCCAGGCTCCCGCCGCGCCGAGGGGGGGTCGCGGAGCCACGGCCGCCTCCCCGCCCTCCGCGGGGCTCGGCGGACACCTCCTGCCTCACATGACGCCCCCTGCCCCACAGGACACCCGCTGCCCCTCGGGGCTCGGCGGGGCGGCGCGCCGGCTGCTCTGGGTCCGCGGGCCGCACACTCAGGCCCGCGGAGCCGCCGCCCCCGGGCGCCCCCTGCCCGATGGCGGGGCCGGCGGCTCAGGCAGCGCTCGGCGCGATCACTTCCGTGTCAGGGCAGGCACCCGTCGCCCTGCCCGCTGCCTGCACCCTGCACCCTCCACCCTGCTGCCCGCACCCTGCACCCTGCTGCCCGCACCCAGCTGCCTCCGCCCTGCTGCCCGCTGCCTGCGCGCCCAACCCACGCCGCCGCAGCGGGGGAGCGGCAGCCGGGGGCGGCGGGGCGGAGCAGAGCCGCCACCACCCCTGCGGGCAGCAGCTGCTGCGGCAGGGACAGCGCCAGCCCTACTGCCCGGGGGCTTGGGGCTGGTGGTGCTTCCTCCGCGACCCCGGCCACCCCTCTCTCCTCTCCCCGCCGCTCCCCCTTCGGCCGCCGACCGAAGCAGGCCCGCCCCCCGGCCGCACCGGGGGCTGCCGCGGCCGCGCCCCCCGCCCCGCCCGGGCAGCGCCGCAGCCTCTCCCGCGGAGGGGGGCGGGGGCAGTGTCAGTGTGCAAAGTGGGAGAAACTCCCTCCGGCTCGCTCGGGGGGACTGGGGAAGATTTGTAGCTTTTGTAGCTTTTCTCTTTTTTTTTTTGTCTCTTTTTTTTTTTGTCTCTCTTTTTTTTTTTTTTTTTTTCCTTCTCTCGCCCGAAGCCACGCCATCAGCAGGTGACCGGCGCCCGCCCGCCCGCAGGACGGGACCCCATTGGCACCGGCTGTGTGTGCATACGGCGGGCGCCCTCCCTGCCTCCTCCCCCTGCCTCCCGCCCCCCGGATCATTCTATACCAGGGGAGCTGTGCACTGCGGTCCCTGCTCGGGGAATCGCTGCTGCTCTTCCCATTCGTCAGGGGCTTTCCAATCACCTGCCTCTGCCACCCTCTCCGCTCCGCTCTTTGTACTTTATTTTCACGTGCTCTTTACTAACACGGCTATTTTTAAATTCCGCTCGGATTTATTTCTCTCTCTTTCTTTCTCTCTAATTTTTCTTTTTTTTTTCCCTTTTTTTTTTTTTCCAGGGGGTGGGAGGGGGGAGGGAGGTTAACGTTTGCATCTCCCTAAGGGAAAGATCCCACCAGCCAACCCAGCTTCGCCACTGCTGCATCCATCCATTCATTTTTATGGTCACTAACAGCCTATCCCGGTAGTGGAAGGTGCAGAGAAGTGGGAGGCAGGCAGAGAGAGAGAGAGAGAGAGAGAGAGAGATCCGGACAGCGAGAATGGCCGAGAGAAAGAGGAACTGGAATAAAGAAGATGACCTGCCTGTGTATCTAGCTAGGCCGGGCACGACAGCCCAGACACCGCGGCAGAAATACGGGGGGATGTTCGCCTCCGTGGAGGGGGCCTACGAGAACAAAACCATCGACTTCGACGCCTACAGCGTGGGGAAGAAGGGGTCCCGGACCCCGCGGAGCGGCAGCCGGCACGACATGCTGGACGGAGGGGACAACTACAGCGAGACCGCCAGCGACATCAGCGAGATCTCCGGCTCCGTCATCAGCTCCCCGGGAGACCGGGACGACAAGACCCCGGGCGTGGAGATCAAATACCCCATGGGGAAGGAGCTGCTGCAGGGGCAGGACAATGGACAGGTGAGCGGGGCCCGGGCAGGGGGGGAGGGAGCCGCCGCCCCCGCTCGCCGGGTGAGCCGAGCCGAACCGAGCTTGCTGTGCTCTACCGAGCCAAGGCGAGCTGAGCCGAGCCGAGCTTGCTGTGGCAGCTAAGCCGGGACGAGCCGAGCTGATCCGAGCTTGCTGTGCTAAGCCGGGACGAGCCGAGCTGAGCCGAGCTTGCTGTGCTACGCCGGGACGAGCCGAGCCGAGCCGTGCCGCAGAGCCCCGCTCGCCGGCGCAGGGGGACGGGGGCCACCCTCGCGGGGGAGTTTCGGCACGGCAGGTCGGGGAGGCGCGGCCCTCTCTCCCCCGGCACGCTGATGCTCCGGGAAGAGCCCGGCTGGCCCCTACCTCACTTGGCTGAGCTTAGCGGTAGCGGGAGGGAGCCGAGAAATCGTTTTCCTTTGTAAGTGATGGCGATGAGTTTTCTTCGTTTCCCTTCCTGCCCGTGCCGAGGGGCTGGAGGGCAGCT